TTTCGAAGCCACACCACCGAACTTACGTGCTTAGAGCTTTATGCCCTCTGAAACGGCATTTTATTTAATAAATATATCAAAATAATATGCACTTGGAGAATTAAATATAGTTTAGTAATAGGTGATTCAATTTTAAAAAATTAAAATTTTGAATCCCCTTGATCCCGTAGCCCATCTCTGGGAGGACCTTAGAGAAAAGCTGTCTGGCGGTAAGCCAGATTTTTCTAGATTAACTATTATGCTTTACAATTCTTTTTGATTTTCAATTAAAATATTAGCGAATATACAGAATACCCCATGACAGAGCTTGAGGGATGGGATTATGCAAAAAATTTATATTCTCGTGAACGTAGCACGCACTACTTGATTTATAGTTTCATAACTCATTCGAGAAGTCCAAGCAAATGCAGCTTAATTAATGAAATACTATATTATGAAGAGCCGCTCGCCTAAAGTTATGCTACAAACATACACTATAAATTTGTTATAATAAACTAAAAGTATGATTGCTTAAATTATGTTTGAAAATAATATATTATTAGGTGTCGTTCGCCTTAAGCTAAGCTTGTAATAACCTTGTTTTAATAAATTAGAAGTATTATTATTTAATGTTTGTTTTTAAATATTATAGACAACAAAAATAAATCAAAAATTAGCAACACTCTATTTAAATAGCTTTGACGAAGCTTTCTTGTAAATGATTTTACCACGTAACAACAAGACCAACAAAACTATCAACTACTTGAAGATGAGTTATGAATTTCAATGTGTGTGTTGCATGAAATTTTTTAATTTAATTTATATAGTGTATATTCATTACACGACCTAACTGCTATTTTAAGATGAAATTAATCTGCGACTTGCATATTTGCAAAAACCACTAACAACCGCACAGCAAAGCAAGCAATAGCGGCAAACTTCAAGGCTTCCGCTTCCTTATGGATACATATACATATAAGAACATTTCGTATATATGTATATTAGGGTGGGTTAAAAAAAATACTTATTTTTCGCTTCGTACTCTGAAAAGTTGGCTGATGGGCACTTCTAAGAAAGGCGCTCCAAGTATGAGCTCTTAGATTGCAACGGAAAGGCGCTCCATCTAACGGTTTTCTATATATTTTTTATTTTCAGGTAGAAAAATTCATATCTCGCTTTCAACTACTTGAATATATATTTTTTGTAATTTAATGCTCTACAGTATGGTTTTTTACGGTTTTTTCGTAAGCCTAACCATTTAAAGATATTAACGATTACGTTACCAGTAAAAGCTCATACTTGGAGATAGTTTCCTAAAAGTGTCTAAAAACATATTTTTCAGAGTTACTAAGTGAAATAATATTCTTGTTTGACGCACCCTAATATATATGTAAGTGCGTATGCATGCTTGCGAAGACTTGGGGCAATTTTAGAGCCACAAAGGCGAAGCTTTTCCTAAAATAGTTACGTACTTACAAATGTACATATTTAAGCTACAACTACTGCATAATAAAAATTAATTATTCATTAACTGAATGTTTACTTATATAAGTATGTGTGTGTGTGTGTTTATAAATAGCTGTGGCTACGTAGCGCGCTATCAATGCTGCCGCTGCTGCTGCTAAGGAAACTATACAGTTATGGCTGTATCATACTGGTTAGCGCTTGTTTACCATTGTTGTTGTTATGGTTATTTTTGTTGTTGCTGGCTGATGGCTTTCGGTTTGCTAAAATAGCTTCCGTTCGCTGCTAACGATAGTTTAACGCATAAAAGATTCACACACAGAAATTTAAATTTATTGACTCACGCATACACATACTTATATACATATGATTGCAAATATAGCCAATAGCAAAGTAATTTTACCAACAACAGCAGCAACAACATAACTAACAATTTGCATAATATAAACAATATTTTTTCCAAGGGTTAAAAGCAGCAGCCGACAGAAATATGAATAAGCAAACAAATATAACTGTAAATATGAACCGTTGCTAGTATAATGTAAATATGCGCCTGCCGTTATGCTACAACTTTGTCCATTAAGCAACTAATACTGCCGCAAGACAAACCACAATTACCAAAGACGTAGGGAGACGTAAGAAAATATGTTTAATTTTTGCATTCGCACGCACAAACACAAACACACATATATACATACACATGTATATATATGAGTTATGCAGATTTTAAAATTACTCAAATAAATGTAAGTAAGTACATAAGGAGCATACGGCCAACATGTAAGTCTACTTAAAGGGCAACAAAAGTCAGTTTCCGTGGCAAAGCATAATGATAAAGTAGTTGCTATGGCAACTGTTAGCGCCGAGCTAAGTAGGCTTGTAACAGATTTTGCAATTAAAGCCATTTATTTTCATTAAACTTTCACACATAATATGCAAATAAACGCTTTGAGCGCATATTGGGTGTGTTAGATGACATAATAATAGGGTGGAGCAATTTTCGCTTTCAAATTTATTTATTTTATATTATTTTTTATTGAAAATTCGATAATTTTGCAATATTTTTTATATAAAAAAAAATTTTTTACTAATTTGTGCTTTCCTCAATATAAATTGAAATGGTTTTTCAATATTATTTTATACAAAATTAAGGTGCTTGTTAGTGATGGAAAGGTAGGAAGGTGGTTTTAAATTTATTTTTTTCTTATTATTTTATTTAAAAATCAGAATCGTTTAGTATTTATTTTTTTTTATTTAGAACTCAATTTTTTTTTTCAATAATTTCTTATATAAAATTTAATTTGTTGCTAATTTTTGCTTTCCTAAGAACCAAGTAAATATGGTAGTAAGGCGGTTATAATTTTTTTTGTGTTAATGTTTTATTTTTCGTTAATACAATATATTAATTAAATTTTTATTTTTTCTATTTATTATTTTTTTCCTAAAAATAAGCTTAAATGGTAAGAATGCTGTTATAAATATTTTTTTTCGATATTATTTAGTACAAAATTACATTTTTTCTTATTTGTACTTCTTTATGAAAACTTTCCTTAAAACCAAGTTGAAATGGTACGAGGGTGGTTCTAAAATAAATTACATATTCTTTTTCAACAAAAGCTTCATATATTTTTACTATTATTTCATAGTTTTTGACTTGCTTTGCTTGTAGCTTGTAGTTGAGTTAGTACTAGGGTGGGCCAAAAGTATTTAGAAACTTAAATATTAAATTTTCAAGTTTTTTCTTTAAGATCATTATATTCGATTTTTCCGAGACTTTAAATGTTTAGTGCAACCTTAATATTTTTTGATAATTTTTAATAATGAGCGGTTTCTTGGTGAGAAAAGGACGGGTGTACAATTTCAGATCGATATCTCAAAAACTGAGGGACTAGTTCGTATATAAACAGACGGACGGATAGACAGACGGACCTACCTAAATCGACTCAGGTCGTTGGGCGATCATTTATATATACACTTTATAGGGTCTCTGACGTTTCCTTTTGGGTGTTACAGACACCGTGGCAGACTGAATATACCTTGTTCGGGGTATTTGTTTTCCAAAATTTTTAAGTTAAACAATATCTTTCAAAAATGTTTTTCAAAATATATCGACGAAATTAGTTTTTTCGAACTCACTAGTTTTGTGTGTGAGAAAAGAGACTCCGACTGTGGATATTATCGGGTATTTATAATATTTAGTCTGATTAGTTTTGATGGAACGTTCGAAAACTAGACAATTTCAGTGAAATTTTGCCAACGAATTAAGTTCGGTCTAAACATTTAGAGTTAAAGCTTTCAAGGCATATTATATAGAATATATGTAAATATCTTTCGTTCAAAACTAAAATAAGAAACATAAGTTGACTGCTTTGCAATTAAGTAATTTATAATATTTAAACCTCTATAACACTCTCAAATCCATTTTTATATAATATAATATTTGCAGCATTTTTATTTGCAGCGCTTTTACACAAATAAATATATTCATAGTTACATATGTTTCTCTTTATTGCTATTGTTGCTTTTCCACTCGGTCTACTAGTATTTCTACTTTTACTTCACATGTCCTAAATATTTCCTCACACAAATACACAGCCACACACTAGCATATATAAATACATATAGAAGTGTGCTCTCACGCATAAACACAAGTGGGTACTTGCTCTCCATATAAATACTCGTACTCTTTACCTTTTGCAAATGTGAATGCTTTTTGCTAATATCCTTTTGATGTCTTAAAAGGCAGAAAATTACTTAACGCTTGTATGCAGATACGCACAAGTAGCTCACAGCGCTGGCTGCTAGGCTACCAAATGCACACATATAACATTAATTTATGTATATTTGTATGTATGTATTCATATAATTGCAACATATTTGCGGCGTGTGAGTGAAACTTTGCGCTCAGTTGCGTCTCTGCCGAGTAACTGTACCGATTATGCTGGCTGAATCGGTGGCAGCTGGTTTTATTTTAATTTATTTATATTTAGTTTCAAACTTGTTTGCAGTTATTTGTCTTTAATTTTTATGAAACTTAGTAGCTTAATATTTTAAGAATTCATAAAATAATGTGCAAGTGTTTTGCACGTCATTAAAAGCCGATGAACTCCCGATATCCTCAATTATATTTTACACATCAGCTCTCCACCAGCATGATCTTTTTAATGTTGGAAAAGAAAATACTTATAGTGGATATTAAGTTGTCAACTATTTAGGCTCCTCAGAACCAGGTTGTGATATGTGATACTCAACACACAATGCTCAGTCTTAGATCAAAGATTCTGTCAGTTGATTGAACGACTAAAAAAGATTTTATGAATTCTAGGAAAACGCAAATCTCTTATTCTTGTGCTTTATTTATCGAGCACAATATTTATACCATATCACAAAGGTTGTAAAAAAGTGTTGTTGTAATAAAAATTATAATTAACTTTTACGAGCACTCATTTTATTTTTTAAAGCAATTTTTTTAATGCCATAAATATATATTCATAAATAAGATAAATTAATAAAATGTTTTAGACATAATAAAAAAAAACTTAAATATATTCTGTTTCTTTTTTCGTTAAAGTTTTGTAGTTTAATACGTCTGCTATGGCTGTTGATTTATTTATTATATTTTATTATATCAGCTCGCTGCAATACTTTGTTTTTTAATTGTGAAAAAAAAAACACTTTTCCGTTTCCAATATCGTTGTCAATAGCAAAGTGGTTGTAATATCTCAATATGTCACATCTGTTCATTACAATCTTCCTCACATAAGAAAATCGGTATTCGAAACAGCAGCAGGCTCGGAAACATTGCGTCTGTGACTTATCTCTACTAACCAGTTTATATGCGCTAAACGCCTCATGAGCGCGTAATTCTTCTCCACCCGGTTGAGGCATTTTAGGCAAATCGCTTTCGGCAATGAATCGGTTGGTGATATTTTAATTGGCACGTATTTATTAACTTTCTCCACTAAGTTCAATTTCTTGCCGCGATTACCAAATATGTGGATAACCACGCGGCTCAGCGCGGTGCATAAGCGACAAACGAATCCCGGTATGCGCGCTTTACGTATGCTACCCATTTTAGTGCGCTGCTACTAATATCTATGAAGTGTAGGTGTTAAAAGCACATAAGCAGACTGCGGCAAATTTATGAAGATTGCTTATGTTTTATAGTTTTTAAATTGCACTACTTTAGGTTTCGGTCTACCGTGATTGAGTATATTTTAACAACTAAAGAGTTTGTTAAGTTTTGCGATGTAAAAAGGCGGGCTAACCTTGAGCAGATGTAATTATTATGGAAGGTAATGAAAACAATGGTAGGCAGGTAGCAAAGTGATGTATTGTGAAATTTTATTTCTAAATTTGTTTTGTGTAACTCTTTTTGCCAACATAGTACTTACTTGGAAAAAAAATGATTTAATTAAAAGAAAGGGAGTTAATAGCCAGCGATGCTCAACTCAGTTGGTTTTTTCTTTGTGTCAGCGCAATACTAGTTTATTAAGCTGCAGCAACAATACGGTAGTTTTAGATTTAAGAGAAGAGATTACTGAAAGTTTTAAATAATTTTGTTGATAGGCACCTCCGCACATTCGACATGTTGAGCACCCAAGGCTTACAAATTTTTGTATATAAAAAAGGGAAGCATTCAACAGCTCGTCGAAAACGCTATAATTCACATATTTCGGTATGTAGGTACCTGGGTGAATATTATCTCATTGAAATCATTCTTTCAGGCTCGATATAATACTTACTGAATCACTATTGTTTATACATTGTAATTATATTCTGAACAGGGTATATTAAGATTCTTACGAATTATGTTACAGACCGATATATAAATCATCAGCTCACGTCCTTTTCTCCCCAAGAAGTAGCTCATTTGTCGGAATGGCCGATATCGGCATACTATGGCATATAGCTGCCATACAAACTGAATGCTCGAAACCAAGTGCTTCTTTTGAAAACTTTTTCATTTATCAAGACATCTTCACGAAATGTGGCGTGTAGTATTGTCCAAGGCAATGGCACAATCTCTCAAGAAAGTTTTCAGATCAGATTACTATAGCGCAAATCTGCCATACAAACTCACCAATCAAAATCAGGGTCCTGTAAGAAATATTTTACATAACATATTACATAAATGCTTAGCTAGGTAGTATACTATGAGATTTATAAATATCAATACCTTTGAGATTCGAGATTAGCAAATTTTTGTTTGGTGAATGTTCATGGTGAATTTTTGAACCTTTAGACATCTGCCAATTCTTTTATTTTCCTCAGCTTCAAGTGGTTTGTGATTTAATGAATGAAAGCTTATTCTTAAAAAAAATTTGATTACAAAAATAGTTCCAATTTTATGAAGTTAAATGGTCAAACGACTTTAAACAATTTTTAACAGCTTGTGGGGATCAAGAAAAGCATTACTTTACCGTTATTTTAAAAATTTTGAATTAAAGTCCAGCTCCGACAAGAAATTTGATAAAAATGTACGTCCTTTTCAGTATTCAACTAATGCATATGGAGAAAAGCGAAGGCAAAATTCAAAGGCAAAGGAACTTCTTTATAAATTATATTTCGCTGATTTTACTCTCTTAGAAGGAAGGATCCAATTCGTGAATTTAGAAGAAAAACTAATCAAATAATTTTTTGCAAGTATAGTATATTATTTTTTATTACATGTACATTTATAGAGGCTCACATTAACCATTTATATATATAAATATCTGCAATCACACACATTTCTTTAAACAAAATTAAATTTTTACCTCTCCACTTGCTGTTAAAGTAATCAAAAGCCGCCGAACTGAGTCTGTTTGAGTATGGCAAGTGCAGAAAAAATAAACAATTGCGCTTTGCTTACATTTTGGGGGCTTACAATAGAAAATCGATTTGTGCTTTCAATGGACAAATGCGCCTTTGCGCCGCCAAATATGCCAGCCGACAGCCGAAATATGTTCGAGTCAACAGTAGACGTTGTATCTGCACTGTTGTTGTTGCCGCCAATGTACCGTTGATCAGTATAATTGTTGCTATGTACCCGCTATGCTCTACACCGGCACAGCAAACTTAAATACGTCGCAGTTGTTGTTGTTGTTGGTGTTGTGAAGCCTTCATTCCAAATATTTCATCTGTGGTTGAGTTTGATTGTGAAAGGATTTTGTAAATTGCTGGCACCAGCGCCAAGCTATAAATACCAGCGAGCATACATGTATTGCAGCATGCACACACATACACACACACCGACAGTTGAATACTCATGCTCATTTACCAGCTGTTACGGAATGGCATAGCTGTGAGAGGCCAAGCGGGCCAAGTGCCTCTTACGCCGACAACCAGCATCAGCGTTATGCGGACAACGGCTGGTATGTGTGTGTGTGTGACTCAAGTATCACAGGCCAAACCAACAACAATAGCAATAACCAAACTTATGACGGCGCGCTACAACGAAATCAAAGGATTTGCTGTGGTTATCAAAAAGTATGGCGCGGCTTACACACGAGTGTGAGTGTATCAAAGGCACCGTTTTACCGCGCGTAGCATTGCCAGACAAAAGTGGCGAGTACACGGCATTGTGACGATGATTGTGACTCAAAAACGCAAATTATGAGCATATTTGCGACTGGTAATGCTGTGTTTTGAGAGCTTTTGATGTATTTGATCGGCTATGTGCCGGTCTGCTGGTTTATTCGTGCTTCCCTGGGTTACATGGAAACATTTTGAGCAGTAAATAAGGAATATATTCGTCGCACTGCGCATTAACTAAAAAAGGCGGTCAACTGCTTATGTAGGATTTTTAAGTCGTCGCGCACATATTCATGTCTTTACAGGATTCTACTTAGACTAATACTATCAGTCAGGATCGTAAAAGTCGAGAACAAGTAATAATGCGATGAAAGGCGGTGATTCAGTGGATGATCATTACACCGCGTTAGCGTCGGTGAGATTAGTTGAGCGCTGAGGAGAGCCGGTGAAAGCTTTGAGAGGCAAAAAAAACCGGATAGAAACCGAGGAGAGCCAGTAAGAACTACATAGCCTCAGTGATAGCTGGTAAGAGGTGATGAGAGCTGAAGAGAATCGGCGAGAATTAGTGAGCACTAAAGAAAACGCGCTGGAACCAGTGCAGACCGGTGAAAAGCAAAGAGAGACAGTCAGAACTAAAGAGAAGAGGTGGAAACCAAACAGAGTCGGGGAAAATTAATGAAAACCGAAAGGAGCCGGGAAAGGTAGTGAAAATAGGCGAAAACCAAAGTAAGCTAATGAGATCCAGTGAACGCTAGAAAGTATTAAAAAGTAAAAGCACTTGAGATCCAAAGGAAACCGGCGAAAATCAGTAAGAACATTTGAGAAATAGTGAGGATCAAAGGGAAGTAAATAGAACTAATGAGAGCTGGTGAGAATAGAGAAGGGGCAGTGACGGCTGGTGATAGGTGATATAGTGAGATGAGGTCAAAACCAAAGAGAGCTAGTGAGAAGAAAGGCGGTTAGAATCGAAGAGAGCCAATAAGTGACAGTAAGGAGAGAGCCGGTGAGAACCAAAGAGAACAGTGAGAACCGAAGATTGCTATTGAGAGTTAGTGAGAGCCACACAAATGTATCAATAAGGTCTGTAGATACTGAAGTTAGATCATTAAGGTAATTTTTTTCGTGCAATAGAACTTAGGATAAACATCAAGATTCTATAAAAAAAGATTCTGCAAAACTTGTTGGTTTAGAAAGTATAGCATGTACAAACTTATTGCTGACTTTAGAGCGCAATGAAAAACAATTCAGTGTCACCAAAATGAGATGGTTTATCAGGAATCTCGTCAAAACCATTGGTATTTCACTTATATACTCTCATTTAGTTTGCATTTCTACGTTGTTATAATTAAGACTCATTATCATTATTATAAGCTTATAAATTTAAGAAAGCATGCTTCTCTGCTAATAATTATCTTACTTCCACTAAATTAATAAGAAAATATTTGATTTCCACAGGCGCGCTAAGTTTAAATAAACACAGGAAGGCGAGAGGAGCTTTTGAATAAACAAGATATTGCCATAAAGTAATTTGAGCGCCTTAAGCGGTGTACAAAAATAAGACGGAAATACACACACACAGTTACCCGCATTGCATAATCGAAAAGCAAGGCTGTTAAGTTAATTAAATGAATACGCAAAAGGCCAATAAATAAACTCGAAGATAAACAGTGTTTAAAGCGAATATGTACAAATTGCGAACTTTATATATACTTCATACATATGTATATTGGATGAGCTTATGTATAGATGTATATATGTATGTATATGTTACAAATACAGCTGAGTATGCGTGAGCAAAGAGTTGGCAACTTTTAAGTGTAAGAAATTAATAAAATTCATTGCTGGCCCGCGGTGTTGAAAATGCACAGAGCAGCCATAATAAAGTAAATGAATTATTATGCAAAATTCCGAAAACAACAACAAAGTAACTGTAAAATAAATGCTAAGGAAAAAATAGTAAAAAAAATAGCGCAGCACAATATTTTCATTAACAATTTGCTAGCACTTAATTACTAAAAAATATGCGCAATGGGGGTATACCCTGCTGCTGCTGTTCACATATTTACAAATAAACAGATATATACTTACATACTTGTATGTATATATAGGGTGTATAGCAAATGAGTGACCAAACGACTTTTCTCACGCTGTTGCCTGCTGCAAGGCGTGGGTTATACACACATACTACAATATTTCATTTCGGAGAGCTTGAGTGCGGCTAGATAGGGGTAACAGGGGTGGTCCAAGTTATTTATTTGCCCTTTGGCTATTCGGCGAAACAATTTGCATATTTAAGTTTTGCACAAAATGAAAACATTTTAATTTGCGCTACTTTTTACTGCTGCCACTGCTGCTTTTACTGCCGCTGCTCGAGCTGAGTGTGAGCAAAGACGTTGTTAGTTCGTTCATTTGCCGTCTCTTATAGATTTTAATGCATTTTATGCACACAAATACAGTCGGCGCTTAGCTTGTAAGTTCTTGGACTTACATATAGTAGTTACTCCGCTTTGGACTTAGGCAAACACACACACACACACAATTGGCTATTTGAATTTATGGCATTGCATTGAGTTGGTAGAGTGAAGAAGCGTATGGATTGCCAATCTAGCAATCTGGTAGCTTATGGGGGGTGCACTGAGTTGAACCATAAACCAGTATACGTTGGCAGCACTTAAAGTAGGAAATGAAGCAATAGTTTTCAACGAAGAAATTCATTAAGAAAAAATAAATAAAAAAAATTGGAATTTTTTGAAGTTGCTCCAAAAATTTTACTGCACTTATACAAGTACGTAAATATTTACTTATATATCTTATAGCTGGTAGCAAGCATATATTCATTGTGATCGACATTTTTGTGGTCATTCTTGTTTGAGTTTTTACAGTATCCTTAGAATTTCTTGGTATTGATAAACTTTATGAAATATTTTTATTATTTGTTTTTTGATTTATTTATTTATTAACGCGGTTCAGCGCAACTTCAAGGATGCAATAATTTTCCATCGTTTATTAAAATCTCCATCGCAGTTGCAGAGCTGAAACATAGAAAATCGGAAAGAAAGAGTTTAATACAATAATATATTTCTATGCAATACTGAAATATTTCAGCACAATAATATAACTAAAAAAAAATAAAATTCATACTACCAAAGTAGTTGAAACATTTCTTGTACGCATTAATAGATTAAATTGCAATTATTGACACTGTCATGTTTTAATTTTATAACACATTTTTTTCATATTTTGTATACATGAATTCAGAATATATAAAAAAGAGTTACAACTATGATTTTTCCAAAAATAAATATTAAAACCTTCTTAAAAAGCATGAAATTAAGATCATTTCCCAGCATCACAATGTTGGGTGTGCGACTTAGCTAAAATATGCCTAAATGTAGGCAAGTATTTAGCGTATATCAGCAAAAAGTGACGTCCTTAAAAAATAAGTGCCAGTGTTGCCTATTTTGGTTAAATCTTCGAATAAAATAATTATTTAAACGCTGCTTGCCAAAAATAGATTTTAATTGCTATATTCAAAGTTTGCTTAACTGAGTATCACTTTTGATAAGCAAAAAACCAACAGTAACCTTTATAAACGTAAGTTTGGCACTACTGTCGGTTGCTCTCCATCAACTCTAGTTTCAAGCTACCAGACCACTATAGCGTCTTTCAAGCGAAGGTGGCTGTCGTCAACGTAGCGGTAGAAACTTTGTTTCGAAGTGTAATATCCTTCAGAGAGCTGTAAATTCACTTCTATAACCAAGTGGCTTGAGCTCGCTAACTGTGCGCTCAAAACTAGTGAAGGCGTTTTTGACTTCATAAGCGACAGCTTGAAACTTTTTCTATATTAGACTTGGCTGTTCGGACACAGTGGAATCGCTGGAAACTACAAAGCTGCTTGCTAGGGAGGGCATTCTTACCCCAATTTCATGGCATTGGAAGCGAATCGTTGGATGTCCTCTTGCGTTCTGGCGATGGACTTATGGACCTCAATGCATCCATTTTTGTGCAGTCTCCTCGTTTTTATGGGTTAGAAAAACTATCTTAACTGCTAATGAAATACTTTTACGGGAAAACAGGGTTTTCCAGTCCAGTTAGGGTTACGTAGCCCAAAAAGGTTTAGATTTATGAGAAATTAAGAACCAACCTCATTTTGTAGAAACTTCTAAGACTGTCTGGGCAAAGGTTTAGGCTTTTACAACCATAGAAGTTTAGGTAATTTGGGCTAAATCCTACTAGTAAATTACTAGAACCACGTACTCATATTGACTTGAGGTCAATTTAAAAGTATTACAATACTTAGGTACATTTTCAACACAAATTGCCTTGGGTTTCAGATAAATGTTGCTAGAATAGGAACCAGCCTGTAATAAGTTTACATTCAGTAAAATTCAGTGAAATATTTCGACATATGTTTTTTTGACTAAATGGTAAGAACTGCTGAAAAAAAAGTAATAACAACACCGCACCATTACATTGTCAGATATAATTGCGTGGGAGCTTTTAAGCTTGCAAAAACAACTGTGTTTGCCGCAGCAATTAATAAAAGCCACTTAAGCGCACAGTGAAGCGCGTAAATGCGCAGCCCAAACAATCAAGCACACACACGCACGCATAACGAATTGTCATAAACAAACAAATAGGATACAAGGAGAATACAAGCAAACAACAACAACAACAACAACACATTTTATGTAAAAAAATGAAATTTACAAGCTGTTGTTGTTATTTTTGTTGTCACCTAGTGTTAACAATAATTAACAAAAAGTATCTGCTGTCCTTGCCGCAGTTGAGTAATTTGTTTATTATTGCTCATACGCCATGTCGCACCAAAGTTATGCGTACGCTTTCGCTATTAAATGGCTTTTATGTTTACGCGCGCTGTTATTAGTCATTGTTGTTATTTATATATTACTTTTAAGTGTTGTTTTTGTTGTTGTTAATGCCATTACTATTTGATGTTGTTGTTGATAGCATAACGATTTGTTGTTGTTGTTGATGACATTACGATTGTTTGTCTTTGTATGACATTTTTGTTTTTGTTTTTTTCCACTGACTTCAATGTCCGTCTGCATAACCTTTTAATGCCATTATTCCAGCGCACTATTGCGCCCAACCTACGCTCGCATACACTTTCAATATTGGCGCACAGCAGCCTCCACTCTCGTCTCGCTAGCTTGGCAGTTATACTTGGCATTGTGGGTATTTATTTTAATGTCGCCTCTACTTTGTGCTCTTCGCTCTGTTTTTTGTCGCCTCCATTGTCAGTGTTGTTGTTTTTCCAGCCGCAATCACGCGCGCGCGCGCAATTTTCAACTTAATGACGCTTCAGCTGCGTATATTTTTTTTTTAATAGCCACGGTCAACAACTTTCCGCCTTGACGTAGGCCAACAAACATAGCCAACTGCATTTGTCGTCTGCGGCGCTCGTTTGCTCGCCAAGCCTTGGCTTGGCTGGGGTGAAATTAACAGCGTGCGCAAAGCGAAAAGTTTATGCACACATATGAGCTTTTAATTGCAATTTAATGGGCGGTCATTTATTATCTAGAAGCCGCTTGCCGAACCCAAGTTGCGCCATTGTGAGGCGGTGTGGTGTTGCGAAGGAAATATTCGTTAAAATTTAAAATTGAAATTTTCGAATATTTTAAGTGTATAAGAAAAAATACCATTTCCACTGGATGGCGCTCTGATTACGCTCCTGGAAGATTTGAAGCAAATCAAAAAAACAATATCTTCCACGAGGTGGCGTTCTGGTGGTTCACCTGGAAGATTTAAATTATATCAAACACTATTATTTTACACCACGTGACGCTCTGCACAAAATGTATTCGAAAAGGATCACTAATTGTTACCTGAAATGGGTAGGAAAGTCTATAAATAAGTATACAATTATAAGAATTACAAAAGAACAGTTAGAATTTAGGGTTGTCTGCTTAAGAGGTTATATCCACTTGTGAATTTCAAAAAACAATAGTTGACGCATATATGTATATCGAATCTACATATATTTGAAAATAGTCTCCGATAATTTGAAATTGATCTGGAAATAGTTTCGGAGTAATGAGCGCATTTATAAGCATTATTTTTTTACTTACCAATTATCTGGCTATCAAAACTTTAAACGGTGTATACAAAATCGGTGAGCGAAATTTCTCCGAAGCGGAAGGGCCGTTCGATTATCACACGGTCTTCATAGATATGTTTGTCGGGTGGATTTAAGAAATAAGAATTATGATAATAGTTTCGAGTTTTAAGCCACTCTTAAGTCTAAAACGTATTTTCGTAAAAATCTCCATCTTGCTCCTGGAAATCGGCTCGAACCAGCTTTTTCTATTTCGCAAGTAGATATAGCCCCTTAAAGTATGCTTGAGCAAAATTGGTTTTCACTATGTGGCGCTCTGGCTGTTCGCCTGGAAGATACAAAGTATATCAAAATGCATTATTAGGTGGCGCTGTGGTCAAAATGTTTATAAAAAGAACAATTACGTACTAGTTTCTGCTGAAATGTATTTCTTTTCCTGTTTTGAAAATTAATTAATTGCCACGTGTTTCGATAGAAAAGTCCATAAGTAAGTTTCTCAACCATACTTTAAAGTACTACTTAATTATAAGGTTCAAGGATTCACATTTAGATTTTAGGGGTAAGTAAACGAAAATCTGCTTGAGTTATACATCGATTAAGACTAAACTAGTCAATAGTAAAAGTTTAAATTTAAAAAAGTGGATTCAAAATTCAAAACTACCGTGGCTTGCAGTTCAAAGTCTTAAAAGCCAGGTTTAAGATTAAATTTCGAATAATGAAAGCTTTAAAATTTAAATAGATGACGGTCAGGAAGTTATCAGTCTTCAATTTGGCTTGACATTCTTAAGACTACAGCTATTATTAATTCCATAAAATTTAGGAATTTCTTGATATATTGTACTAAATTTTTACAAGATTTTTGTCGCACTTTTCAACCCTAAAATGCACCACCGTGCGTAGACAATGCAAATACAATAACACTTAGTGCAAGTTTAAACGGCCCGCTGTTTTCTGTAGGCCTGCAAATAGCACTTGTCGCACTTTTAAGCACCACAGCGCTAGGTTCTACGCCAACTAGTAACGTGTCGGCCATGGCTTCCGCTTCCCTAGTCTTGCACTACATAAATGCAATAAGCGTTAATGAACCAAAAAGTTGTTACCTTCAATGTTTTTGGCATGGCCAGCACCATTAAGCGCAAAATATATACGAGTATACATATATGTATATTTATATGTAGACACGCCTACACACACTCACATATTTACAAAGCGTTATATGGGTATACCAGCACCCACATGCTCCTACTGTGCACTGCAGCTGGTTAAAACGTGGAAAACCTCACCCATTGCTCTCCATACACACAACTATTTCAATACACACACACACATATACATAGCTATATGCACATTTAATATATGCAAATTCCAACGCATTACACATGCATTGCCGTGCATTTTGCATTTTAAGTTAAAAGTTGAAAGCGCTTTTACACAGTGTTTTAATTTTCAAGATAAACATAATTTTTGTCTCCGACACTTAAAGTGCACAACCCAAAAGTTTACGGACGGTGCGATGGCAGCATGTGCTCGGCATGCGTGCATCAGTGTGTGTATGCACCCAAAAATGCTTTTTTTATTTAAAAAATACTTTTTTTTTACAACAATGTGATAAAATTGCTGCAATTTACGCGTGAAGTTGCATTAACGGCGCAGCTGAATTATATTTGTTTGCGAATATTTTTGTTCTTCAACTTTTAATAGTTGTGGCTTCTTCGCCGCCAAAATGTTGCGCATAACTTTTGTCAGTTGTGTGCGTTAATAAACCGGAAAGGGGTTTATGTGCTTTGAAAACGCATTAACGCATTTTAATGGAGATGAGTGTTGTGGCTGTTAAGCAGCTTCGGAGAGTGCTTGTTGCCATAGGAATAACATAGAGGAAACAGTAGCTGAGAGCTTAAAGAATATAAATTTTAATCAACTTCTTGGTATTTCAACAGCTGCTGTGTTTCGAAGAGCTTAAAGAACTAATATTACACAGGTTATTTTAACTGAGAGCGGCAACAACCTTGTTCGAGATAATCTTTTACAGCGAACGCAATTATCCTGGAAGCGTTCTGGTACAACTTAAATAGATTATGGCTTCGTGCCAACGCTACAAGTTTTCTATTAAGAAAACTAGAATGCCTTATTTTATAAATCTAATAAAATGCGGTTTTTTTAATGAGACTCAACAACAATTTTGATTACTTTCCGCACTTCAATGGAGTTTAAGCCCATTTTAAATTCGCTTCTGGCAGAATTTTCAACCAATCATAATCATGCTCATTTTTCCTGGGCTCCTTCAATGATTATTTTATTGACTGGAGAAGACCCTCAAAAAGTAGATTGACACCCATTTCCTTTTAACGATTTCATAGCCAAGTTCTCTGCGAAACTCATATGGTTATGCAGAATGGCGTTGAGCACAACCATAAGCTCTGCCCAAAATTGGCAAGAACCTCTCCGAGCTGTTCAATACCAGACGAAGTTTTAGACAGTGTGATTTCTTCTCGTCATTATATTGAATGTTGGATAAGTTGATCTCTCTCTCTAGACGTACATAAATTAAGCGCTATCAGTGTCGAATTATTCGTGTCCTACAAGTATCTTGTGGCGCAGAAGTATGTAAATTGACGAACAGAGATGGGAAAGCACTCAAAGTATTCGAGAGAACTGTTCTGCGCACGATTTTTGAAGTCGTTCGCGTGAGTTACGAAGAAGATGCAACCACGAACTGTATGAACTCTACGGCGACATGTATTTAGTTAAGCGCAAAAAAAATTTAACAAATGCGCTGGTTAGGCGATTTTGTACACATGGAAGACGACGATCTAGCGAAAAGCTTCTTAGATATGACGTCCATGGATGGACAACAAAAGCAAAGGCGCTCAAGCGACCAATGAAAGGACTAAATGTATATATACCGACCAACCCACGGTAATAGTGTCAAAGAAAAATAGGATAATGATATATTTCTGTACTTTCCTTCGTAGAGCTTTTACTCCATTAAGTAAAGTAAGAGAAGTCATAAACATTTAAATGAGGAGTCAAGCCTATGTACAAGGCTCAGTTTTCTGTCTCTAGAGTCTGCCTGGAAATGAAATAACTGATGAGATTGCCAAAAGTGCCTGAACTACTTTCTTCTTTTAACCTTTAATGATGATGTAGTAGATTACAAAATCTTGCAGAAGGATCTAAATTTATGCCTTAAGTTGCTTCTTAACTGACTTTTCTTAAAGAATGTCAGTAAAAATTTTTAATTTCAAAAACAGATCTGTTGTTTTCGTTTATGAATAAACCATGAGCAATAATTTTAAATAATTACATGAAAAAATAAATAATTTAAGACATTTCCTAACGCATTCGATAACGATAAATATAAGCATGTTTGTGTGTTTATATAAATGTAAATATTCCCAAATATTTTACTAATTATTTTGACACCTTTTCAGCGCTGCTGTTCACAACAATTCCGTTCATAATCAATATAAGCAACTTATATACATATGTATATATACATTATATATTAGATATGTGTATATATGTATACACTAGGGTGGGTCAAAAAACTGAATTTTTTTCTTTTTGTTTGGTGCTCTGAAAAATAGGTTCTTAGACGCCTCTACGAAAAGCTCTGCAAGTATGAGCTCTTACAGTTATCGATTTTTTTCGTATTATCGATAGAAAAATTCATATCTCGCTTCCAACTACCTGAAAAAAGATTTTGTTTTATTGGTCTTCTAAGAATTTCAATGCTCTACAAAATGGTTTCTTACGATTATTTCGAAAACCTAACCGTTTAAAAGATATTAACGGTTTAAGTTGAAGGCAATTTTTTTTCATTTCAATTTTATAACTCAGTGAAAAAAAATTATTTTAAATTGCAAACTCATAGTTTTGTCGGAAATTGATTATTCTACAAAAATGGTCTGTCTCTATTTTTCGATTAAGTTAAGCGTTTACGAGATATCCATCGTCAAAAATCAATGACAATAAAAAGTTATAATAAAAACAAATTTTTTAAATAAGACAAAATACAGACAATTTTTGTAGAGCATTCAATTTCCTACAAAATCTCTAAAACGAGATACTTTTTCAAGTAGTTGGAAGCGAGATATGAATTTTGCCATCTCATAATAGGAAAAAAATAAATAACTGTAAAGTGGAGGCGCTGCCCATTACAATTAAGAGCTCCTATCTGGAGCGATTTTAGTAGAAGTGTCTAAGCACCAATTTTTCAGAGTACCAAGCGAAAAAAAAATATTCGTATTTTTTAACGCACCCTAGTATACACATACATATATGTGTGAAGTCTTGAATGAGTGCAAAGCATACGCCATTGTCATTCAAATGCTGTCAATATAAGGCAATATAAGTAAATATATTTACACACGCACACATATATATGTAAATGCAAGCATGCATTTGCTGCGCCAGCATACATTTGCATAAATCAGTTCATTTGCTGTGTAATTGTATCAGGACACAGCCATTTCGTTCAGCACCATTTGTGCCCATTGAAATTAATTGAATTAAATATTATCTACCTTGCAGATGGTTTTCCAGGCAACTCATTTTATTATTTAATTTACGTGCACATATTTTGTCACCGTTTAAATTATGTCAGTAAATTATTACAATTACGTAATATTGCGGTATATGCAGACAATTACATATTAAAGCTGTTAAAATTTTCAATTTGCATTCTACATATGTTTGTATGTACACATATGTAAATATAAAGATGTATGCTTATTTATTGATGAAGCTCGTAACTATTTTAGTTTTGGCAACTAAATCTGAGAGCTTTGAAATTTTTGAAAAACAAAAAACACAAAACACATAAATTAATGAATAATCATTTATGTTTTGATTAAAATATTTTATGTAGATAGCATATATGTATATATGTAAATGCAACCCTGTCGTTTATTGCATATATTGTCACATTAAAAATTTACATATTTTATGGCAATATAACGGCTTTAATAAATGTCTAACATGTTTTCGGGAACAATGTGTCATAAGTATGTGCATATAAGTATTTATATGTATCTATATACAATTATTTATATGTACGCGCATATTTGGTGTGTAAATTTTATTTTATTGAAAGTAATATTGTTGCATAAATACATATGTACATATGTGCTTACATACATATATTTACTATATGTGAATATCAAGCAAGTGTGTTAATTTAATATCGAAGAGTTAATGCATCGGAAATATTATGGAGGAAAACAATATAGGTATATACATGTACCTAGTACATGTTACAAGTAGCGGAACGCAATGAAAATTTAAAGTTATGATATGAAAAACCGTTAACTGTAGCTATAAAACCCT